TGGAACACTACATCAAGAACTAATGATGTAATGTATGGTGATTAACATAACAATAAAAATTTAAAAAAAAAACCAGAATGTGCTCTTCACGACAATTAAGACACTAAGAAACGTGCTCTGAAAGACTTTCTGACAGATGCGTGGAAGCAAAAGGGTCCTATACTATGAATGGAAAAAGAGGCTGGTCTTTATTAACGGACACAAAAAAAATCTTTTAACAGGACATGGCCAAGTAAATAAAAATCAATTGTTTATTGGGGAAGGAGGCAGGACAATTAGGAAAAAAAAATTAGGGATGTGTATGGTAAGGGGGGGTTCCTGATAACTCTATGTGAGTATTCACAATTATTTAAGGATTCTTGAGAAATCTCGGCAGAAACTGTGAACTTTATGAAAAAAGACACTAGTTTTAGAAACCGAAAAAATAAACTCTTATATACAACCTGTACAGGTCCACAATAGATTTCACTTTAAATATATTGAATCATTTTTATTACTTGGCAGAGTTCTTTCACATCTGCTTCTCCTCTTACTCCCCCAACAATCTAATGAGATGAGCAAAAGTAACCATACCAGTAGCAACACATCGCATTGCTACAGTTCTTTATGGATTTCAAATGTGCTTCCCTGTTTATATTCTTTTTGAAATCTGTCCAAAAGATGACAGGAAAATATTACTAGCCATCTTTCGGGTTTTTTTCCCAGCAAGTATGATTAAGCAGGAGCCAGTGGTGGGTGATGGGTTAGAAGCATATATGAGCTACTGTCTGCCCAAGAGAAGTAGCAATAATAGTATTACCAAAAGTCATAGTATCCGCTACCATTGTCTGGAACCAAATACATGTCAGACATTCTCCTAAGTGCTTTACTGCTAAGAATGTTCTGAGCACATTTCTTCGTGCCTTATTTTCATGAAGGGCACTTGGTGGCTGTGGCCCAAGGGTTGTTAAATGACTATCTACTGACAAATCACATCTGTCTAGTTCTGTCTATAAGACAAAAAACTTGCCAGTTTTCCTTGATCTCACTCCCTTTCTGACTCTCCAATCCCATGTGAATTTGACCACCGAAGTCCAAATGAATTTACAAGCTAAATGTCTCTGCATTTATATCAATTATTCATTTTACCATCATATAGCCCCGTGAGGTCAGTGTTTCTTAGCCCCCTTTTACAGAAGAGGAAACTGAGCTTTAATAACTTGTCCAAGTCCACATGGGCAGAAAGTGGTAGGGCTCAGATGTGAACATAAATCTATTCAGAGCCCAAATGTATCTTATCTGTCTCCAAAGCCCAAGTTCTTAAGAATAATGGTTACCATTAGTTGAGAACTTACCAGGTTCCAGGCCCTGTGCTATGGGCCGTGCCAGTAGTATCTCATTTAATCTTCCCAACTCAACAACTTTATGCAGTAGGTACTGTTCTTATTCCACTTTTACAAGTGAGGAAACAGAGACTCAGAGAGGTTGGGGAACTTGCCCAAGGTCACACTGCTCATGAGGGAGTTGACCCAAGCAATTTGATTCCGGATTCCAGGCTATACTCCATATATTAAACTGCTCCCCAGAATTAGGATTCAGAAAAGTTAAAGGATATGTCAAGGACCATAGGTCAGGTAAGTACAGAACCAGGGCCAAGACCCACTCCTCACATTGGATTATACTTGAGGCATGTGGTGGTCTTCGCCCAGTCTCCATCAGAAGCCAATGTACTCTCATCTCTGACATCACCCTGACCCTGTGTGAGTCCGTTCCACTCCCTCAAGCAATTTCCCAGTGCTGTATCTGCACCTCTTCCATGGCTACCACTGCCCAAGTGGGGGAAAGATCCTCTGCTCCCCTGCCCCGCAACCCCCATCCAGTCTCCAGACCCTAAGCTGATCTATTGTCTGCTGCAGCTCAGACAGGCTGATTATAGTCTGGGCTACTAATAACCAAGGGAACCCCCCCCAGATCCACCTACTGCCATCGTGACTTCCTACCTTTTGAAACCAGACATTTCAAACTAATAGAAGCCACAGTCCCAGACAAATCCTGCCCATCCCCCTCACTGATAAATTTTGCTCTATTGGCTACAATGCATCCCTTCCAGATGTTTTAAGTTAAGATTGGGAAAGCTGTGTTTTTACTGGATTGAATCACAGTGCTTGGCTGACATTTTTTGGCCCTTCATACACTCCTTAGATTTATCAACTAATTGCAGACACTCTGAGAGAATAATACAGCATGTGTTTATTATGACAAAACCTGCTAGTGTGTCTTTGTGGTCAGAGATTCACGGGTGTTTCCTTTACCAACCTCTGGTTAAGTATTAAAGTTAGTTCAAAGTCAGGAACTTACATGGATGAAAATTTCATTTATGTGTTTTGATGGAGTTTGGGAATGGGGACAAGATAGATCCAATAGCTCAATTTTTATTCTGGGATTATTTTGAAATCTTTAGTTGTGGATGATAAAATGATTTATTAAGAGATGCCAAGTGCCTGAGGAATTTTATTCAAAACATAAAAAAAATAGCTTTGTGTTGTTCTAATGCCACTGTTTACTAAGTTTCTCCATATGGGTTAATTCTGTTTCTTCTGATGTGTCCTGTTTGGAGATTTGTGCCTAAGGACATGCGGAAGGGTGGCTACCTCCCTCAGTCAAGGCGGCCAGGGCTGAGGTGGCCCTTCAGGCAGCAAACTTGGTTGGGAGAGGGTGTGGACAGTCCTCACTGTCCAAGTAGGACAGTTGTCTTTTGGGATATGAGTCCCTGCACACTAGGATTCTGGCAAGCCCTTGTCCTAGGACATTGCTACCTACATAAGAGACCTAAAGGGCTGGATAAACCATTGGAATGGGGAGGACGGAGAAGCCAGCAGGGAAACCCGGATGCCCCACGTAGATCCTTGGGGTCCCTGATCCCAATTCAGAATGACAATGAAGGGAACTCAGGAACTCAGGGGTAATACCAGCTCCCCAGGGCCAGGTGTGTGAGGACCACACGCTCTACCCGAGATGGGCACAGATTTGGGGAGTTCGGTGCATGTGTGCTCTGCTGTCGGAACAGGCCCTGGCACCAGTGGGGATCTGACTCTATCCCTGTGTTTGAAGTGCGGGGTGGTGGGTGGGTGGCTGGGTAAACCAGAGGCCAAAGATATTAGGCAAGTGCTGACAAAAAGGAACAAATTGCTCCCTACTGTGGCATCTTGTAGAAGCTGAAAACAAATAGAGGAATCAAAGTATGAAAATGCTTTTAAATTGTACAAGAGTGGGAAGGAATGTCAGGAAAAGTTAGCTGGAAACCTGAATTTTAGAATTGTCAAAAAAAAGAAATAGTGCTTCTTACGACTTTTGCGTCTGTAGACTTACCTAAAACACATGGTTGTGAGAGAGCCTGTTTCAATAACTACATTTTAGTGTGTTGTCTTCTGTACATCAGATAAAGATTTTCTGAAGCATGTTCTTCATTTCCTTTCACAATGCTTCTCTATGAGGACGCCCAGCTTTCTCTCTGGAATGGGTAAATATTATCTCTTCTGAGAAACTGATTTGTTTTTATTCCACTGATTGAGAATCTCATAAATATTGCCTGACCTTCTTCTCATTTGCTACTAGAAAGCTTAGAACTAAATCCACGAGCCACTCCTAGCAAGGAAATAAGCTCTTCACAGTATATTTTTTCTATGCTATTCTCACTCCTTACCTCTTCTTCCCCTTATTTTTCCTTTAACCCATATCCTCCGCTTTTGCAATTTATTGTATCCTTCATTTGATTGTATCTTGTGGTGTCTGTATCACTTCAGCTGGGACAAAGAAGCATATATAAGTACATCAGTGCAAATAAACGGGTGTTTCTCTATGCTAAAAGATGCTTTTTTTCTTTTCTACACTTTAAATGTTATAATTTCACTATTAATTCCTTCAACAAATGCTCCTTTCATAAATAGAGAAATGGTTTCCTTCAGCCCTCTGAACCACCTCAATTTCCAAATTAAGTAAGGCCCAAATAAAGAGATTTCATTTGCTTGGTAAATTAACTCAGTGTCCTATACTTGTTTAAAATGCTTGGATGAAGTTTGAGAATCAGTATTCAGCAAGACACGGGTTTCATAAATGGTGGAGAGAAGCTTACACCCCACCAGGCAGATATCCTGCTTTGGCCCAAAGCGGCCTTGATTAACTCCCTGTGCGGTCATGGGGTTGGTTCCTTGAAACTCTCCTCTCAGCCCTACAAGACGCTCGTCTGGAGAGAAGAGTGCATTTCCATTTAAGTAAGACTATCAGGGTCCAAAGAGTGAGGCACAACAAGCAGCCTTCAATGTCCTCTCCCGAAACATCTTTCCAGGCTTTTCTAACAAAAAGGGGAACTCTGAGTAATCAAAAAATGATTCTCCATCCTACCTCTCCAGCTTTAACTATTATCACTCTTATTTCTACTTTTCCAGCTCCTTTTGTTCCAGCTAAAGAGGTTTATGTATTTCTACTTTCTTGCTTTTGCTCATGCCATTCCTTGCCTGGATCCCAACCCCCCCCAACCCCCTCCTCTCCACTTGACGGAGTCCTACCCTCAGTGCCCACAGCTCCCGTGAAGCCCTTCCCAATGTGCCAGCCCTCGGTGATTTTCCTTATGAACTCTGCAGATCCCACCATCTGCCCCTTCACCCTGGCAGCTACCTCAATGACAAACCATCATTATTTATCTTTTCTAGTTTAAGTCCCATTTCCCTGACCAGATGTTAAACCTCTCCATAACCAAGATTGGCATATCATAGACTCAAGAAGTATCTGCTGAAAGAACAAATGAATGAATAATTCTTATGGCTTTGGGGACACCCAGAGGCATCTAGCACAATGTTGGCTCATTAAATGTTTGGTGTTAATAATATGAGTAAAGATGTTACCACCCATCCACCCACTACAACATAATGTCCTTGAACCTACCTGTCTTGGTAACTAAAAGCAAAACCCTGCTTCTAATAAAATAAGCTGTGCTTTGACTTTTTGATTTCCTCTCTTTCTAGATTTTGAAGAAGTCCTGCATCGAAATTTTAGCAGCTGAACCATCCACCATATGTGCAGGAGGTAAATTAAGTGCTAAAGGGTCTCATACAAATGATGGTATTTTGAATTCACATCACATTTATTTCATTGGCGGGGAGGTGGGGAGACAGGGCAGGAAGGGGGAGGGTGGAAATAGGAGTAGAAATGGCTAAAAAAAATTTGCTGCTAGGGAGAAAAAGAAAGGAAAAAAGCAACATGTCAGTTGTTTGAAAAAGTCTGTCCAAATCCTCTTCTTTCATGGGAACTAATTGCGAGAGTATTGCAGAAATACTGGATTCCCATACATCACCACCAACATCCTGCTCTGAAAAGAAGTGGAGCTGATCCAGGAGAACCTGTTAAGAAAAAGAAGTGAAAAATCTTACCTTCTCAAATTTGACAAAAGCATATGCTCACATGTTCCCAGTGCCAGGGCCTTATAGGAGGTCTTTGCAGTGAGGAGCCTCAATTAGGGTTCATTAGCTCAAGGTAAATCCACCTCTCCTATTTGTATAGGTCCTTCATTTTCAAATAATTAGATAATAGGGAAGTTCCTTAATTATGCAATTACCCCATTCATAAAGAAAACCCAGACTTGCAGTTTAGCAACATGCAAACTGGATATGTTGCAACCTCATAGCGAATCAGAAAGTCTGAAGACAATTAATACAATTCCTGTTAATTCATAACATAATCAATTCCCCTTTTGTAGGGTTCCTGCAGACAAAGACTCTTATCTGCCTAACAGAGTACCTGGCACTTAATACATGGTCAGTCAATGAATGTTGGCTTAATGCCTCGATTCATTATTTCTTCAACAAACAATGCACTGATTTTTGCCTATTTGACCCTTATTAACTCCTTTCACTTAACTGTAAGAAATTAATATCGTACCTTTGAACTATCTAATTAAAATGAAGCAAAATCAGAAACTGATGGCCAAAGATAGAACAAGGCCAAAATAAAAACCAAATCTCCACCAGCTGGACAACAGAAAAATATCTTCCAAAATAATTCTTGAATCAAAGAGTAGTAAAAACCAGCATCTCCTTTATATACCATTGAGATGTGAGACGATAAAGACACCGCATATATAAACTTGATGAATATGGCACAGAAATACCAGAGTCCACAAGAGCAAATTCATAGATTGTAATGTTTCTTACGAAATGGAAAAGAAAAAAAAGTAATTAAGAAGTAAGTAAAAGATTTTTTTTAAACTAAGGAAATATAAGAAAAAAGGATTAAAATGCATTAATGAATTTAAACAGATGAAAGCAATTCAACTGACAAATCATTGCAAGAGCTATTTCTTCGGTAGAACCAATAAAATAGGCAAATCTCTGGTCAGTCTGATCCAAGGAAGCTTTCTTTAGATATTTTTTAAATCTCTGGCTTATCTGCAATACTGCGTGTTTTACAGACCAGCTATAATTTCCTGCCTCAGAGTAAGCACTTCTATTTCCTTTATTTTTTATGAAGAAAAAATTAATACAAGGCACGATAAAGGAAGCTAGCCCTAGCTTTTGAAAAAGACAAGCTCCCACCTCTCTTGAATGAGAATCCTCAGGATTAAAACATGCTATTTAGAGAATAACTTACAAAGGGGAAAAGGAAACTTCCAAAAGATACCCTGACACCAGAAGTTCTACCATGGATTTCCCCGAAGATCTATTGCTGATCATTCTCTGGAGTAAGTGGCTTTCCCGAAGCACTGGCACCCATTTCATTGCCCACGGCAGTGAACACCTGTCAGGTAGACCTGAGCATACCCGCTCTGTGCTTTTCATTAGGCTACTGCGAAGACCCAGGGATTTACATGAGAGTGCTTTGAAAAGCACAAACTGTTTTACAGAACAAGGTGGCATTATCATCAACATCATTGTAGTGAGGATTGAAGGTCAATGTGAGAATCCTGATGTTGATAACATATCCAGATAAGAAAAACATGCCTGTGTGTTTCTCTACTGAAACAGAATTGGGGAGAACACTGATAAATTCTAGAGTACCTGCAAAATGATTAACTCAATATGTGCTGGACGCAAAAGGAAACAGGAAGTAACGGAATGTCCGCATTTCTAAAATATCATGGTGGGACCGAGCCCTAGAAAAATCTGTTGAAAAAGGTGAAATTCACTTTCATCAGAAGTCTTTCTGCTCAGCCCCACCCCTCTCTGTGAATTGCATTCCTTCCCGGGCCCCCAGAGCAGCCCCTGCTGCGGAGCTCCACCCAGGCCTGTCCTGCTCTAGACGCCATGCTGACAATTGCATTCCCCCAAGACAATGATCTCAGTTGGCTCTCACCGACAGCTCACCATCAGCCGTGGTTCTGACAGCAAACTGAGCTCTGAGAGAGGCAACGAGATAATGCACTGGGTGGACAGCAAACCTGAGATCCAACACAGATCTTTATAGGTCGGTCAGTCTGCAAAGTGGGACAAATGCCAAGTGTGGAATTTGGGTTCAAATGCCAGTTTAGGAAGACCCGACTTAGTAGCCGTTCTTTCAGGGAAAAAGAAAAAACAAGGAGAAAGATAGCTATCTTGATAGCCAACAAGAATACCTCTGAGGGGAAAAAATGTTGACATAATCTTTTGAGTGTATCAACAGCCATCCAGTGTCCAGGTTAAGAGAGCTAATTTCATGTCCTATTATTCCATGTTCAGACCATGGCTCCAAGTCCCACATTTTAAAAATGCCACTGACAAAGGCATGCCCATAGAAGAGGAGATGGTGGATCTGGAAACAATGCTAAAAATTAATTCTATGACTCTTTCTTTCCCTTCCTCCCTTCCTCCCTCCCTCCCTTCCTTCCTCCCTCCCTCCTCCCTTCCCTCCTCCCTCCCTCCCTTCCTTCCTTCCTTCCATTTCCTTGCTTGCTTTTTTCTTTCCTTCCCTTTTTCTTTTCTTCCTAGCCTCCTTCCTTCTTTCTTTCCATCAATTCTTAGTGTCTACGATGTACCGAGCAATATGAAAAGACATGAGTACACAAATGCAGAGAGCTTGCTCCCAACCACCCATGAAACTCACGGTCTGCTCTGGAAGATAGTCCTGTGTGCAGATAAAGTACAAACCACACGTGAGACACAGTAGCAGAGAGCCACTCAAAGAGCAGCAGGAGTGGTAATGAGATGTTGGTGGAATGAGGAAGGACTGAAGTAACCACGGAGATTTACACACAGAATGGAGACACTTCCAAGAGCATCTTCAGATATTTACAGAATTCCCATGTGGAAAGGAGTTATTATGCTTATGATGTGTAGCTTCAGGAGACCACCATGGAGAAGCTGGGAAGGAAATCAGGGAGGCAAATTTTGGCTTAACACATGGAACATTTACAACTAAAACTTCCAGCAGTGGAGTGGATGGTCTGAACTCTCCACCCGTAGAGTTATGTGAGCAGTGGCCATCTGTAACCATATGCAATCCCCCTCTGGATGTTCTTTATAACTTTAAGTTTCCAAAGTCTTAATTCAATTTCAGCTAAGGCATTAATGGCTGATTTTTTTTAAATGGCAAAGAATCCAGTATACCTGGAACTATTTTGCATTTTAACAGGAAGTCTTAATGGGGAAAGGGAGTAAGGAGAGTATCTAATCTGCTCTAATGAAAAAGAATTTCATTCAATGTCATGAGTTTAACTATTTGGAGAGAGAGCCTTCCCAGAACTCCTCCACTGCCAGAAGTTATAAATGGGCAGCCTACAAGCCCTCTCTGCTCTGCACACAGTTTCTTTCTGATCCACACTACATTTAAAAACAAACAAACAAACTTAAATTTATTGCTACCATTTAAAAATCTGATTTTATCTAAAAATTCAGATTTCCCCCTTGTCTTGAAAAATCGAATCTAGCAACACTGGGCCTGCATTTATTGCAAGATGATGATTACTGGAGACTGAATAACTTCTCTTTTTAAAAGAAGCATGGACTCTTTCCAGTTCACCATACTCCCCCCGCCATTCCCTATTACACCCCAATACCCAGGCCAAGCATATGGTTACTATTAGCATGGTGCTTATGTCTGTATTTACTGTATTTACAGTTCCTGTTCCAAAACATGTAGGGAGAGAGGTAGGGAGAGCCTTTCGGGCACCTTTGACATTACCTCCTTTTTAAATAGTGCTGCTTCTCTTTTAAAAGTTTCCTAATTAAATATTTTTGCCGATTAGCCTCTGTAATTAGGAGAGTTGCCCCCTTGTTAGATTGGCCTTGCCTCGTTTAGCTCCTCTCCAGGAAACGCGCCCTTTGCCGGAGTCTTACTTCCCTCTGGTCCCACTCGGTTTGCCTGAAACTGGAATCGCTCACAGTGTTCTCTGTAAGCAAGTTCTCCAGGAAGGAGCTAATTGGAATCAAGTGTGCAACCTGCCAACTGTTCTACACATGAAGTTGTTGCAGTCCAGACACAGAAGGAGATTATATTTAGCTCCTCGCATTGTCATTTCAGAAGCAATTGTACCATTCCTACTGTGTTGTTTCCCACTGTTGGTGGTAAAACTGGGCGGGTTCGCACAGAAAGAAGGCGGTTTTAGGCCTCCTGTTTACCATTTGGCCTTAGATGCTTAAAACAGAGACTTTTAGGCAACATCGAACGTGGTTTCATTTCTTTCACATTTCATTATTTCTCAAAGAGCTCAGGCGTGGCCCTTAGGCACCTCTTTAGAATGGCTTGTTTAATCCTCTGCTTGGTCCCTTCCTTTTCATTTAAAGATGCTCCTGTTTGGAGGAACAACTCTCATACACTGTTAGTGGAAATGTAAAATGACACAATCACTTTGGAAAACAGTCCTGACAGCTTCTTTAAAAATGAAACATACTCCTATCATCTGACCTGGCCATCCAACCCCCAGGTATTTATCCAAGAGAAAAGGAAGTCTATGTCCAGACAGAGACTGGCACACAGATGTGTATAACTGCTTCATTTTCAATAACCAGAATCTGTGAATAACTCATGTTCATCAACAGGTAATAGATAAACAAATTGTGGTTTATCCATACAATGAATGATATCAGCAATAAAAAGGAATAGACTATATATGAATCTCAATAATTATGGGCGAGTTTTAAAATAATTACACTTGGGGGGCGCCTGGGTGGCACAGTCGCTTAAGCGTCTGCCTTCGGCTCAGGTCATGATCTCAGGGTCCTGGGTTCAAGCCCCGCGTTGGGCGCCCTGCTTCTCCCTCTCCCTCTGCCTGCAGCTCCCCCTGCTTGTGCGTTCTCTCTCTCTCGCTTTCTCTCTTTCTCTGTCAAATAAATAAATAAAATCTTAAAATAAATAAATAAATAAAATAATTACACCAGGTAAGAGAATCCGAACAAAAAATGTGCTTACTGTATGATGCCATTTACATAAAATTCTAGGTCATGCAAAATAATCTTAAAACAGCAGAAAGCAGATCAGTGGTTGCATGGGGATCAGTGATTGTTCGGTCCTGGGGAGGAGCGGGAGTGAGAGATTACTAAGGGGCACTTGGAAACTTTTGAGAGTGACGAATGTGTTCACTGTCTTGATTGTGGTATTGTCCCATGACTGCATACGTATGTCAAAACTTGTCAAATTATATACTTTATATGCAAGTTATTATATGTCAGCTATACCTTACTTCACTAATGCTGTTATAACTAAACAGCTATAAAATTAAAAAGTTCTAGAATAAGTATCAGAAGACACTTAACACACATCAGTCTCTATTATATGTTTCATGTCACATTAAGCATCTAATAGGAAAGCAAATTTGAATTAACTCACAAGGTGAAACATTAGTAGCAATAATTTTGCACAAAAGTCTAAGGTGACTAGAGCAAATGGAGAATATACAGATGTCTCATTTTCAGATACAGTGAATAATAGGTGATCTTTATTGAGGTCATCTCAAAACTATGTTTTCCACCTTTCAAAAAAAAAAAAAGGAAAAGAAACAAAAGGAGGGAACAGAATAGAATAAGTTTATCCAACTATTCACACACTTTATTTTTTTCTTTTTTTTAATTGAGCTATAACTCATATACCATAAAATTCACCCTCTCAAAAAGTGCAATTCAGTGATTTTTATTATATACACAAAGTTGTAGAACCATAACCACTATCTAATTCCGGAATATTTTCATCACCCCAAAAAGAAACCTTATTCCCATTAAGCAGTGACTCCCCATTTCCCCTTTCCTCCAGCCCTGGCATCTGCCAGTTGATTTTCTCTCTCTATGGATTTGCTAAACTTTTCATACGGAAATGAAATGGAATGGAATCATACATTATGTGGCCTTTCATGTCTGGCTTCTCTCATTTGGAATAATGTTTTCAAGTTTCATCCATGTGATAGCATGTGTCAGAACTTGATTCCTTTCACGGGTGAATAATATTCCATTGGGTGAATACCATCTTCATCAGTTGATGGACATTTGGGTTGTTTCTACTTTTTTGCTATTGTGAATAATGCTATCATGAACATACACGTACAAGTTTTTGTGTAGACATACATTTTCAGTTCTCTTGAATATATACGAAGGATTGAAATTTGTAGGTCATAAGGTTACTATATATTTACTTTCTTGAGGAGCTGCCAAATTGTTTTACCAAGCAGCTGCAGCATTTTGCATTTCCAACAGCAAGCTATGAGGGTTCTAATTTATTCACCAACACTTGTTTTTGTCCATTCTGCTTATTACAGCCATTCAAGTGAGTATGGAGTGGTATCTCGTTGTGGTTTTGATCTACATTTCCCTATTGATTAATGGTGTTGAGCATCTTTCCATTCATTGACTTTATGAAACCTCAGAAAATAAGCAGGATTAGACCTGACCATACATGAATAAAGGACGACCTTCTCCTTCTTCTTTATTCCGTTTCTATACCAAGATATGTCACTAATTTATTCAGCCAATACTGAGGCTGACTCAGCCCTGGGTTAGGCACAGTCAAAAATTTTAAAGAAACAGAAATGATGGCCTCTACCATCAGGAAGTTTAAATTATAATTGAGAATAAAGTGACGAAAGAATCATAATAAACATACACCTCAAAGAATATATATCTTAAAACATTGGATCAAAGATCATTTTCAAGTAGAAATTCCTCCCTAAAGCCCTCCAATCCCTCGGCACTTCTTGTAGGAGCAGTCACCCAACAGGCAAATTGCCTAAAAACACTTAGCTTTACATATTGTGAAAGGTGGGTTTAGGGCTTTCCGGATACATGAACTTAAATCATCTGTCCTGGTTCTGGTGTGTCCTGGTTCTCACTTGCTGGCAGATTCAGGAGACAGAGTTTTGTTACATAACTTGTATGTGTGACGAGCTGACATTCCAGTCGGGCTGCAGGGTCAGACGTTTGGGCTCTTCTGGAAACCAAATGTGCACAGGAGCACAAAACCATACCCAGCAGGGTGGGAGCGCGCCTCTGCTCTGCTGTGCTTCCATGAGCATCATTGCCCCCCATCTTCTCCCCAGGCCCAGAGGGTTAAAATTGTTCCCTTTCCGCCGCGGCCACGTCATGGATTCCGGCTGTCTTTCTTTCTAAACACCCTGAGGTCAGGCCAAGCAGACATGCGGGCAGCCTTTTTTTTTACAGAGGCTTCAGCAGCTGAACTGGTAATGCTAGAACATGGTGTTAGAGAAGAGAGCTTGGCACGGGGCCTGCATTTCCAGAGTCTTGTCTCCTTCCGCTAATGTTTGAGGAAACAAGAGAAGGAGCACAGCAGTGAGGCCGAAAACATGTTGCATCAGCAAAAGTGTCCAATGGCAGATTGCTGGATGTCTGACGTTCAAAATAAAAAGCAGACATAGCTTTCCATAGGCTTTCTATAGGCTTAATGAGTAAATAAGATACAGTAAGATTCTTCCACAATGCTTGACACTTAATAGAATGCTTGTTGAAGCAACTGCGTCATCAGCCACATGCCTGGCAGACTTCTAAAGAAAATTAAGTCCATCCTTCTAAACTTAGCAATCGTGCACATGCATCAACATGCATATGTTAATCCTTAATATTCATAGGACTTGTGATCCTGAAAAACCATTTGCCCTCGACCTTAACTAAAGCAGTGAACACTTGGATACTCCCTGTTTTGCTTACAAATTACATGACCTTGGGCAAGTCATTTAAAATGTCAAAATCTCAATTTCCTTATTGTTAAGGTCCTTTGTGCTTCCAAAAAGCATTCTGTTCTAATTTGTATTCTTTGTGGCACATACAGTACCTCCGGGTTCTCTTGCTTGGGTTTCAATTTCTTGCTTCTTGCTTCCCCATCCGGGCCAGCCCCACTTTTCTGCAAACTTGTCTAAAACTAAAATAAAACAAACCTTTTAAAAATCACAGCATCAGTCTCTAAATTGGTCACACGTCAAAGACGATGAGGATCCATTTCAGCATAATGGCCGAGTCCTAAGGGCATGGCATGTGATGCCCGGCACACCTGGATCCCCACTCTGCTCTGACAGCTACAAGCCGTGAGATCTGGGACAAATGGCCGAACCTCACTCGGCTCGGTTTTCTCATTTGCACCTCCCTGGGCTGTGGTGAGGCTGAAATGATGTTGGACATAGACAAGGCTTAGCACAGGACTTGGCACCCAGTGAGGGAGCCGTTAGTAACCGGTAATATTACCTTGGCATATATGATCTCTAAATTAGTTTCCTGGGAATGAAGGTGACTTGCACTCATGACATTTTATTAAACTTTGGAAGAGTCTAGTTCTCTACTTCTAGTCTTCCTCCAACAAAAATGTCCCTTTGTATAGCAATTTACAGTTCAGGATCCACTTTCACAAATATTGCCTTTTCCCTCTGACTTTTAGTCTATTTCTTTTTTAAATGCCACCCAGTATTACCCAAAGCCCCAATTTTTATACACAAAAGAATGACCAAAAAGAAAGAAAAAAAAATAGAGCGTGGACTATTAGTTACTATCAAACTTAAGCAAGTATTTCTAAACATTCAGCTAATTTCGCTGTTTTTTTTTCTTTTTGTAAGACTATTGTAAAGATCACTATTTTTATTCCATAGGGATTTTCTTAACCTGTATGAGTTCACCACGCATTATGGCAATGTGAAATTAACATGCAGGGCCAGAGACCTGCAAGTGATATTCTCTCTTCTGTTTAGAGAGAAGCCAGTGCTACACTGAGGGGCCATCGTCCATTCAAGCAGATGATGCTGGACAGTGGCCACTGGATAAACAAGATTTTGATTTGTTGCTCAGTACAACCATTCCCACATAATCCTAGGTCCTAGAGACAGGAGGACCTGAAGCACTGTCAAATCATTCCTGACCTAATGCAACGTTTCTCTAGTGGTGGAAGAAAAGACACCACCACCAGACAGTGCAAAATCCCTTACCACACCATTCAGGACAGACTGTGGATGCCATAAGACAGTGATTTTCAAAAAATAAAAATAAAAAATTTAGTCACCTCAGGCTCTACAGAAATCCTTTCAGGGGAATCCAGACACAAGAGATGCTGAGTTGATTGGAGGAGAGGTGGCAAGCCCCCTCCTCTGTGGCCCCCCTGGCTGCAGGGGTCACAGCTTTTAAAACTGCCAGGACTTGAGAGACGGGTGAGATTTGAATGGACAGAGAAGCGGGAAGCAGGGCATTCCAGGTAGGAGGAACACCAAGGGCAAAGAAGCAAGAAGGTAGGAATTCAAAGTAAGACATCATACGCCTTCCTCGTGGACACCTAGTGATAAGGAGGTGGTAAGTAAGTGGTAAAAGGCACCCACGTGGTTTTGGGTTCCAACTTGAGCCAGCGTCCAAATATTTTAAGCCTGGCGAAACAGTTAACAAATGCCCTACGTCAGGGCAGGTGGAAAACGTAAGGTTAACGGACTGCAGTCAGATGACGTGACTTGTCCTTATTCCTTTCAGAATCATTTCAAGTAGTTGTAAGAGGAAACGGCTTCCGACACGCCCGAAACGTGGACAGGGTCCTCTGCAGCTTCAAGATCAACGAGTCAGTCACCCTCAGTAAGTTCTTGCAGAGTTGTGGGTCTGCTCAGCCTGCTTTGGGGAGGGGGGGCCCCAGCTCCATCTGCCATATACCTGGTCCCGCACAGGGGACCACACGGAGAAGGGCCTTCCTTGCTGGACGGGCCTCTCGAGGGGCCCTGTCTGGCCCGGAAGCTGTCCTTGTTCCTGTCAGGAAAGGCAGAAGGGCACCTGGGTCTCAGTCCACCGAGGTCTGCGCTAAGTCTCTCTCTCTGGTGGCAGTGCTGGCGCTGGGTGCTTAAAGCTCGGGAAGCTGGGTGTTCCTTAACAAAGGACTAGGTACTGTCAAGCATAAGAGTGAAAAATAGATGGTCTAAATTTATGAATTCTGAACAAACCAAAAGGCAAACTATTAGGCTTGCCTGTGTAGATTCTGGAAGTTTTTCCAATCTGGATGATTCTTGCCTCGAGTGGCCAAGAAAGTCTCATCACAGTGAATACCTGACATGAAATACAGGAATATGGAAGGAAAACGAAGTGCGTTTCATGCGAAGAATGAATTATGACACTGGCACTTTTACAAGACGTTTGTAGCAGGCAAGTTCTTAATTTAAAGACATGTGTGACTCGTGCGGCTGTCCAGGAGAGGTGGGGAAGTCTGGTTATGGGGAGGACAGATGGCCAGGAGCCCTGGTTATTATTCACTATCTGCACTGACAAATGGTAAGAATACACTACATTTTGTGTAATGCTGTGTCCTTCTAAATGTTTCACATCTTTGTGCCACAGTCGCTGTGGGAGGGAGGAGGCTCAAGGAGCAGGGGAGATGCACGGTTATTGACTCGACTGTGACTCTAGGGTCGGCCTCCTCATAGCCTTATGGCATAGGTGCCGTCTTGCTTTTAGAAAGGAAGAATTGAGGGGCATGGCTTTTTTCCTCCTTAACCTCTTAAAACCCCCTTGAATATTTAAACAGAGATAGGTACTGGCTTCCTTACAAACATCTGGAATTCCTGGCCTTGGAATATTTCCAAACATTTGAAACATTCAGTTCATTTTCTTGATACTTGGAAATGCTCTCACATACCCAAAAAGTACATGCGATTTGAAATCATTTTGAAAAATCCCCAACTAGTCAATAGTGTGAAGGTTGGACTTGTGCACTCTGCTGAGTTCCTCCTTTCTCTTCCCTTTGATCGTGATGTCGCTCAAATACACCCACCCTCTCTTCTTAGCCAAAATCTCAAATCTAAGATCAGAAAGTCCTGAGGGTTAACCTCAAAGATGTCAAGCCTTCCCACGTAGGCTTCCTAGACAAGCGAGCCTTCAGACCCAACCCGGCTCTAAAGATGAATGGAAATGGGGTGCAGCGTGGCCATTGCCTGAAAGGTTACACAGAGATACTGTGTTAGTAGAACATGAACTGCGGATGTGCTCTGGATTTGTAGAGTGACATTCTGAAGGCTTGTCTTCCAGCTTCTCTATGACATTTTCTCTCTTGGGAAACCCAACTCATCCTCTTTCTTCCTACCCTCTTCCTTTCCTCATATAGACTTGCAAACACCTGCACAGGCTCTCCACCTCATTCATATTCAAAAACAAATAAAGGTCATAGGGGTAGGGATCTGGCTGAAGCCACAAGCCCCCTTGTGCTTGCTGCAACAGCGCTGACAGTTTGGGGCAGAGGAAGGCAGTGACTCAGGCGTATGACATCCTGCAAACAATTCTCCTACACTCAAACATACAGTTATTAAAAATATCCCAAGTGGGGAGGGGGGACACCTTCGTGTCTCAGTCATGAAGCGTCGGCCTTCTGCTCACGTCATGATCCCAGGGTCCTGGGATCAAGCCCCACATCGGGCTCCCTGCTCAGCGGGCAACCTGCTTCTCCCTCTCCCACTCCCCCTGCTTGTGTTCCCTCTCTTGTTGTGTCTCTCTGTCAAATAAATAAATAAAATCATAAATAAATAAATAAATAAAGAAATTCCCAAGGGGGAAATATTGTAATTGGAAAAAAAACACTTGTCCTTTGTTCATTAATTCACCTGCTCATTCCCATTCAGTAAATGATATGAACAAGAAACTATGAGGACAGAAGAGATGAATAAATTTTAAAATACAACATAGTCAGATTTACATTTTTCTCTCAACCTTATGGATGTAACAGTCTCTACTGAGTCACCTCTGTGAAATAAAATAAATTTAGATTCCTTTACTTTTCCCAATCTCCTTTCTTATCTCTAGATCCCAAGTTTTAAAACATTATCTCTTTTCATTTTTATAGTATGTATTTCCTCTTTCAAGATTTTTTCCTAAATGCTGCATTAGATTTTATAACAGGAAGATAATATAATGCCATTATCAATCAGAAAAAGATTAATCGATGGCCCAGTAATGAAGCTAGGACTGTTGTGGCTCCAGCCAGTTCAAACATGGGGCAGGCCCCATAGTCCTTGACAAATAATACAATAGCAGATTCTATAAAGCCAAAACTACACATAAAAGAACAAATTGAAGAATTAGATTTATAGTGGAAGATGTTAACGTGACTTTCTAAGTCTTTGAATGAATAATAAAAAAATTAAAGATATAGAGCAGATATATAGATATGTTTTTAAATGGCTATGAACATTTATTGTACTGACACAAACAAAATGCCAATATTTAAATATAACACCTACTTCTCTCCCACATTCCTTTGCTTAAAAATAAAATCAATGAATCAACCATTTAGAAATCTAAAACAATTTCTGGACTTGCATTCAATATATTAGATCCAAAAATTCTGGATGAAATATGATTTTAAAATTTCCAGGGGTGCCCAGGTGGCTCAGTCAGTTGAGCATCTGACTCTCGATTTCAGCTCAGGTTATGATCTCAGGGTCATGGGATCGAGCCCCACATCAGGCTCCATGCTCAGCATAGAGGTGGCTTGAGAGTCTCTCTCTCTCCCTCTCCCTCCACTCCTGCCCCATTCCCACTCTAAATAAATAAATAAATAAATAAATAAATAAATAAATAAATAAAACCTTTAAAAAATGTAATGTGTGACCCTGCTCAAAAGAAGGAAACCCTCAGGTGTAGAAAATGAAAAAGGGAATGCAAAATCTAAGCAGGAAGCAAAGCTGTGGAGGCTCTAGTCCTGGGGGTCTGCCGGCCGAGATCCCAACACTGATGCAGACATAGGACATCAGCTTGTGCAAGGCAGCAGGCAAGAAGAGAGCCCCTTGCAGAAATTCAGCTCCAAAGGGCTATACCACACATTAACTGGGATTGGAAAAGCTGCTCAGTGACTCAAAGAAGCAAGGGAATAAAGTTAAGTTGTTATACCACCCAGATGATACAGAAGCACCAAGTTGGGAAACAAACCCCAGAATGTGTCCATGACCATTCTGATCCCTTGGCCCTGGCAGTGGCAATGCACACCTAAGCCAACATACAGCACTCCTGCGGCCAACAGCCCCCACTGAAGAAGAGCTCACAGCACCACATGCCCAACCAGATGAAGATGGATGAAACAAAGAGGAGAACAAGCAAGAAAAAGGGACTGGAGAACAATTTGAAAGATCATGTAAATAAAAGCATTTAAAGTGTGTAGAGAGATCAGTAAGACCAAGGGGAAGACCATTCAACAAAAGCAGATCTGCAGAAGAATCTAGTGTAAAAGCTAGAGTTAAAAAAGTTTATTCACTGAATTGCAATTTAATGGATGGATTTAGCAGTGTGATTAGACAGAAGGGAAGATGACATGCATGAACTAGAAAAGAAAGACAAGAAAATCCAGCCAAAGCACCAGAGCCAGATTCTTTTCACCCAAGTTTTGTAAGACTTTAAAGGACAGAGGATCAGGGCGCCTGGGTGGCTCAGATGGTTAAGCGTCTGCCTTCAGCTCAGGTCATGGTCTGATCCCATGGTCCCAGGGTCCTGGGATCAAGTCCCGCATCGGGCTCCCTGCTCCTTGGGAGCCTGCTTCTCCCTCTGCCTCTCTCCCTCTCTCTCTCTCTCTCTCTCTCTCTGTCTCTCATGAATAAATAAATAAAATCTTTTAAAAAAATAAGTAAGTAAAGGACAGATGATCCATATCTAAAACATACAAAGCAAATAGAGAAAAAAAAATCTTAATTCATTTTATAATTACATAATCTTCATTTTTTAAAAAAACTAGACAAAGACACTAGAAGTAGAGAATATTTGAGATCAAGCTCATTGAAGACATCTAATAAAATGCTGTCAAACAAAATCCAGCAATGTATCTAAAAAGCACCAGCACAGGCAAGACAATTTTGAAGAATGAGTGGGGACTTGTCTCTTCTGTACCAAAACATTTTATGCCAAGAAGGTATTAAAATTCATTATCCATTCCAAATTGTAAAAATACATACTTTTAGAAGACTAGGAATACGATAAAACTTTTTCAGCACAATAAAAAAAGTATCTTGACATGCGAATCCAAAACTTGACATCATTGAATAGTAAATCACTACGTAGAGGTATTCACTTTCTAGTTAGGGGGGAGAAAACAGGACAACCTGTTGTACGATTATTATTTAATATTGATCTGAAAGTTCTAGCAGCCACCAGTAGAACCCTCTGTGATGATGGAAATGTTCTAAAATGGTAACTAATGGTAGCCACAAGCCACAGGTGGCTACTGGGGACTTGAAATGCGGCTAGTGCAATTGAGGAACCGAATGTTTAATTTCATTTCATGTAAACGAAATTTAAACTTAACTTAAATGTCAGCAGCCACTGTGACTACCGTACTGGTCAAGGCCATAGGTATCACAATAACACAAGAAAACTAATGAGAGATCTAAGTACAGGAAAGGGGGTCAAACATCATTACTTTAAAATGATGACTATATCCTTCTGGAAAACTAAAGAGAATCAATAAACTACTAGACTAATAAGAAGGTTATTAAACTGGATGATTTTGAAATAAATTATCTACCTTATAATAATCAGTAGCTTTGTCAGAGTTCAGTAATGATCAACGAGAATGCATCCCAGGAGAAATAGAGCAATGACACAAGAAATCT